GCGACTGAGGAGAGGGCAACTTTAAATCAACTTCTCCCCCCTTTCCGCGTTCAGGGCACTTGCAAGCGGGCTTTTGTGATTTTAATTCCCCCCCCCGCCACGAAAAAGGGGACCGCGCTCCGCACTGACAGGCTCTCAGGTTCCCTTGTTTAACTAAGCGGGATCTTTTCACTGCCTTTGCTTAGTAAACGAGCGGGGGGTGACGCCTCTCTAACCGCGCCTCAACAGCGTCTTCTTGCTGCTTATTTACCTATTACCTGCTTTTCCTCAGCCTCGGCGCTCCTGCCCGGGGCGCAGGGATCGCTCCTTCATTCCTTGAAATCTCTCCCCCGTCCCTTCCAAGCCAGTAACGTTTTGCACACCCCTGTCCTTCCCCCGGCTCCCTCTTGCAGCGTTTCTGTCCTCAGCGCGGCTGCATGTGCCTGAGCTTGGCTCTCCTCTCTGTGCATGTGTGCAATTGTCTCCCTGAGTGTTTCTGTGCTTTTTTTTTTTTTACTTGCTGTTCCAGTGGTTCTTCAGAAGATCTTTTTCATCCTAGTTGAAAAAGCACTTCATGCTTCACCATGACAATCTGCGCTAAGTACACCTTCTACACGCCAAGTGTTTTAAAGAAAAAGACGCCACAAGATAGATTCAGGGCTCGGAAAGTGACAATTTCCGTGCCTCTCTGCTATTGCTGGAAACTCTTCTCACGTTTACACTGCAACGCATTGGCACAAAATAAAATAATCTTATGCCTGAGTCAATAATGTATTTTGTGTACACCAGCAACGCTACAGGTCCTTATGCGAGCCTCAGGCGGCACCCAGGTCACGGAAGCTGATGTGTTCTCCCCATTTCAAATGTATCTATTTGCGATGGGATTTCTATTTCCTCTTCTTTGCATTTGCTTTTTAAGTTGTTTATCATTTTAGCCGCAGTCTCGCCACGCTTTTCATTGTTTTTCTGCTAACTTTGTCCATTTGTTTATTAGGGGTGCCCATCATCATACCATCGCTCTTTTACTGCTCCTTCCTCTCTCTTACGTTCCCCGCCACGTCCAAAAATGTAAAAAGTAAATCTCTGATTTTCCCAATTTACTTACTCTCAGCAGAGCTCAGCCACAGTCACAAAGAAGGTTCTTGCTGAAAAAGAAAGCAGAGGAGGCTCAGCGTGAACTCTCCTTCTTTTTAAGCATTCAAAAGCATTTTATAAGCCATTGTCTCTTTTTTTTCACAAACCAGCGCCGTGTGGCAAATTGTGCAGAATAGAAATGCCCATAATGAATGTATTTAGTACTGGGTCACGCTGATGAACATTCTGCCCCCATGAATAATACTGTTTTACAAGTTTGCAGCCCTTTCAAATTGCTGATCCCCAAACCCTATAGGCAAACTAGAAAAGCTAACACAAGCAACTGGGACTTTAGAAACCCATAGCCATCTGGCCTAAATCTCTAACAATCCAAGCCAATAATTATATCAATTCAGGCTTTAGTGAACCCCTTTGCAAACACCAAAAGAGCAAAGAAAGGAATTAGTGGCCATTCTAAGTTCTGGTGGAGAGAATTCAAAGATAACCTAATTCCATTAGTTCACGGACAGCTTTTTTTGCAGCTCTGATAAATCTTCCTAAAACATTTTTCCAAAACACCAGTGTAAACTCTTTTCTGACGATAATTGGGGGAATAGGTTCAATTAAATGCTGTTCTTAGTGTCAATAAAAAGTATTTGGTTGATAAAAGAAGTCACTGCCCCTTTACATGATGAGTGCAGCAGATGAATAATTCATCGTAAAAATAATTTCACTGCTTAAAACTAAAATATTATATATACTCTTAAATGATAACGTGTTCGTCCAAGTAACTGTTTAGTACACTTAGATATGCAGAATTTGCTTTACGCAATTTTTATCACTTTCCAAATAGTAATTCCATGTCGTCACGTAAGTCTTTCTCAGAGACATACTCTGTATATTAATAGATAGCAGGATACCTACAGATAGGAATTACAGCACCTCTTTTCTTTTTTCCCTTTTTTATTTTTTATTTTGCAACTTCACCAGGCAGGTTATATGTAATATTATCACTTAAGTCCACACTGTCTTGCAACTAACCGTTTACACTTGTAACGACGATAAAGTATCATTGGCACAATAGTCCTTACCTGAATTCTGAACTAAAGCAATGAAAAACCCTTGATCTTCTTTTTTTTTTTTTTTTATCTGACATTCATTTGAACCTACAAATGAGAAGGAACACACCTTGGGGCTGCTTGTTTAGATGCAGCAATATTTACTTGCGTGGTGCTTCTAGAAGTGGTACTTCTGCAGGGTGCTCCTGAGCGATTGCAGCACTCCCGAGGCCGATTCCTCCCATATCCAGTGAAAGAGTTTTGTCTGAAAGTCTCTTAAACTCCAGTCCACCTTTGACATGGCAGACTTCTCTTACAAAGAAACGGGAGAGTCCCACGTGCAGCCAGCAGACACTTCTTAGGGAGCGTGGTATTGTGAATGCTGTTCGGCACGTGAGTGGAGTGCTGCTGGCCTCCTGGAGAGTAATCTCGGTTATTCCCACCTAATACGCATCTGTTCACCACAACCTTCTTCTCAAAAGTTGCACTCAAATTCTCCAGTGATGTACCTGAGGAAGAAAAACAAACTGACTCCAAATAGCACTTCCATTTGCCTACAGTACTGCTTCAGAAACCACAGCTGCACAGCAGATTAATTAATTTTTCACTTAGCTGAAAATAGGTTTATTTCTGTGGTCGATATACTTTAAAGTCTGTCTTGTTCCTCCGAGGAGTTTTATGGAGCTCTCAAGCATATATTTTCTTCTAAAAGTTACTGATCCCCTAAGATGCACAGTATATATGCAAAACTTAGGTGACTGAGAATTTTACTTTGAAGAACTATTTTGAGAAGTAGTCCCTCAGCAGGGACAGGGGAGAAAGAAAATAATTTTCTTAACAATGGTAGAAGCACAGTGAAATTAGCACAGTGCCATTTGGTTCATTCCCCTCCCCACACGCACAAAAATGCGGTTTTATTCACTCTCAGTATGATTTATTGCCTTATGTTGCATCATGCTACAAAATGTCATACGCACTATGCTCCAGCGCACAAGACAGAGCTAGATAAAATTTGATTTGACACCTGTGTAATGAATGTGAAAGACAAGTCCTCCTAAGTCAGAAGTGTATTTTCAAAGAACATTTCCATCACAATGAATGACAAAATTGGGGGCTTCCTCTCTCCCTCTTCCCTCCTCATCTCTCTCTTCCTCCCTCCCTCCCTGCCTCTCCCCCCATCCCTCTTCAACAAGCTGGTTTCCCAAAGTAACACTAACGACAGAGCTCTCCCTGGTCTTTGTACTTTACATTTCCAACTGTTGCAGCAGGAGGGCAAACTGAGCGAAGAGTATCCTTGTAGGCAAACGAGCGTTGCCATTTTATACTCACTCTTGGACCCACAAATAAACTGACCAAAGGTCAGTACGATGCTGTTCGGTAGAGTGGGTGAAAGGAGGCTGATGTTTCAGTCTGATTTCTTGCACAGACAACCATATTACAGAACTCACCACAAATTAATGCTGGTTTTGTCCAATCTACTACCTACCTCATCAGTCATGCCTATACCCGATACCTGTTTCAGAACTGAGGTGCCTCAGAGGCTGGATTACTTTAAGAGATATTAAAGGCAGAATGGACCACTGGATTATCAAATACAACCTCTGCATCACAATCTTCTTAATTAAGCCCAAATACATTAGGTAGGGCATATATTCTAATCTGTGGACTACTAAACAGTGTACCTCAATCAGGCATCAGTTACCTGGTTCACCTGAAAAGGCAGAGAATTGATGAGCTAAAAGGGGACCAGGGATCCTGGCAGGCAAATCAGAAAAGCAAAAAAATCCACTTGATACTATCAATCCTGACCTCCACAAAATCTGTACCTCAACTATATACACATATATCTATACCTTAAAGTAATCCTGCTGAACATACCCTGCCTAAGCGTTGCTGTTCCCAGTCAGAGCCCTGCCCCTTCTACACGGCGTCCAGCACGAGCAGTCTCCAAGGCCACTCTCTGTCACCTCGGAGACACCCGGGAAACATTCGGCAAAGGTAATAGCTGTGTCAGGAAAAAGTCTCTTCCTGCGCCAACAAGCGGCCAGTCAAAGCCCTGGAACAAAAGGCCAGGTACCAAGAAGTAGGAATAAACAGGGAAATTCAAGGCCAGGTTGGATGGGGCTTTGAGCAACCTGGTCTAGTGGAAGGTGTCCATGCCCGTGGCAGGGGGGTTGGAACCAGATGATCTTTAAGGTTCCCTCCAACCCAAACCATTCTATGGTTCTACGATTCTACAAAAATTTAGTTCAGAGATCTGCAATTTTCACTTTTTCAACTTGCTTAAAAAACCCCTGATCATTCATTAA